CTGGTGCCTCGGCTGGCGCCTTGGCTGGTGCCTCGGCTGGCGCCGCAGCTGGCGCCTTGGCTGCCTCGGCTGCTGGGCGGCTGGGGCTGAGGCGCTTTTGGCGCCTCGGCTGCCTTGGCTGGTGCCGCAACCGGGCGCCTTGGCTGGCGCCTCGGCTGCCTTGGCTGGCGCCGCAGCCAGCGCCTTGGCTGCCTTGGCTGGCGCCGGGGTGGCTGGCGCCAAGGCTGACGGGGCGGCGGTTCCTGCTGCGGCCCGAGCGAGCCGCTGGCGCTGCCGCGCTGCCTCCAGCTCACCTTCCGGGAAATGAAGCTGCGAACGCACGCAGCAAAAACAAAAGTTGGTACTGCTGCTGCAAACGCAAAAGCAAATGTTGGTAATGATGTTGCAAACGCAAAAGCAAAAGTTGGCACTGCTGCCTGCTGCAAACGCAAAAAGCAAAAGTTGGTAATGATGTTGCAAACGCAAAAGCAAAAGTTGGTCATGACGGTGCAAACGCAAAAGCAAATTGGACAAGCGCAGACCCACATGCGGCCTGCGCTGGCGCCGCCCGGGGTGGGCAACACGCCGAACTCCGCCAAGTCGGTGAAGACATCCAGCACCCGCTTCCGCGACTGGTGCAGCGCGGCCTCCAGCAAGCGGCAGCGCTGGCAGTCCCCGGCAGGCCACGTGGCTGGCAGTGCGCCGGGCTCGGCGGGGGCGGCCGGCGGAGCGCCAGGAGGGGGGGCTGCCACCGGCGCGCGGCCCGACATGACGCGCGCGTCATAGCCGGCCGCGCGCAGCCACTGGACGGCGGCGTCTCGCGCCTGCGCGGTGTCGAAGAACACCAGGCAGGCGCCCGGGCCGGTCGTCGCCCTGCGCACCGAGAAGTGGTGCGGAGCGGCTGCCTCCGGCCAGCGGCGCGCGCCCAGCCACCACCAGACCTCGGAGCTGGAGATCTCCGAAGGGAGACCGCCAACCCAGGCGCCATGGTCCCTGTAGGACGCGGCCATGGCGAGCGTCACGGCTAGCGCGCCTAAAGCCGGCGGAGCTTACGAGCCGTAAAGCGGCTGCGCTCATGCATGTACATGTGCAACACTGTGCAACGACCAAGCGTGGCAAACGCAAAAGCGAAGGCTGCAAATGCAAATGCAACTGCGTGGCCGCAACGCGACACAAAGAAAAAAGCAATCTGCAAAAGCAATCTGCAAAAGCAATCCGCAAAAGCAATCTGCAAAAGCAACACGCTGACAACCAAAGCGAGCGCATGCAATCTGCGTTGCTTTCTCACCAACGCAGGCCCAGAATACCATCACAGAAACACTACAGGCTGCGAGCAATCAGCCGGAAAGGCCTCCTGCTTCGTATGAATCTGCAGCAGGCAGATCGCCGTGCAAAACTGGCAAAGACTGCGGCTCCGCGACTGCAAGTGCAGACGGGCGTGGCACTGGAATTCGCTGCACGCTTCACACAAGTGATCCAGCTGCGAACTACCCCGCAGGCGCTTCAAGGGGCGCGGCTCTTCCTCTGGCTCAGGGCCGGCCGGCGCCACAGGCGCGGGCAAACGCCTCGCGCGCTCTCCTGCGAGAAGGCATCCGTAGTTCAGGCCGCAGAAGATGCGAGCCGCGCAACTGGCGCAAACCTTCTCGTCTGTGGTGCGGCCCATGACTTCCACACCAAAGGCGAGCAAAGCTTCTGAATCTTCGCAGTGCGCGCAGCGGCCGTCGGGCTGGCTGCCTGTCAGCTCCGGGCTGTCGGAAAGCTCTGGGCTGTCGACAACATCCATGTCACCGCGGCTGGCGCCAGGCAGGGGCAACGTGGCTTGCGAGTCTGAGGACATGGCAGCTGCGGCGCTCAAGCAGCGAGTAAAGCAAAAAGCAAAAGGGACACGCAGCAATGTCGAACATGCGTGTTTTCCCGCGTTCGATCAAGCACTACTGCGTGGGCCGCCTGAACTAATCAAAAGGAATGCCCTTCGCCCTGCACTCTTCCAGGGCTTGGGCGTGCGCTGCCCGTGCCGCCTCTTTGCCGCCAGTTTTGAGAGCCTTGGCGTAGGCCCGGCTGGCGATGCACTTGCCCGTCATCTTCAGCTGCTTCTTTCCAGGAGCACTTGAAGTGGCCGCCTGCTGTTTCGCGGCTGGCTTCTTTGCCGGCCTCGATGTCTGGGGCGGCGGCTGTGTCCTGGCCTGGGCGTCCTTGTCCGGGCTGGCGGGCTCGCGGTCGTCGGCGTCCTTGCCTTGCAGCTTCTGCTCATAGGTGACAGGCTCCACCGACAGCGCGGCCTGCGCAGAGCGAGCAGAGATGCGTGCCGAGGTCATGCGCAAAGAAAAGCAAAAAGAAAATGCTGAGCGCCTGCAAAGCCTTGCTGGCGCTCCGCGGCTTAGCTGATGGCCGCCCAAGCATGGCCATGAAGTCCGGCCAGCCGTCGTCGCCCAAGGCAGTTGCGGCATCTGCGCCCGCCGCTGGCGCGAGCACCTGCGCCGCCAGGGCGAGCGGCAAGGCCGACGAGGTCGGCCCTTTGTCATCCCAGCGGCGAACCATGGCGGCCAGGCCCTGCAAGGCAGACGCCTGCTGCACTGTGGCCTTCCGCAGCGTCCTTTCTTGCAAGGTGGGGTCGTAGGCGCACTCGCGGAGCTTGGCCAGGCAGGCGCGGACGCTGGCGCTCACCAGGTCTGCCCATGCCCGCATGGGCTGGCGGGTGAAGTTGCAGGGCTTGTCGTCGTGCAAGGAGACCAAGGCCAGCAGGGTCTTCTGGTTGCTGAGCACAGGCCCGCATCGCTGCAAGACGTTGGCGAAGAGCTCGTAGCCTGCGGCTGGGAAAGGTAGAGAGCAAAAGAAAGCACGACGCAAAAACAAAATGCAAGGCCGAGAGCGGCTGAGATGTGTCGCACAAGCGGCCTTCCACAAAGGCGGGAAGGGCTGTGGATGGCGCCGACTTCCAGCTGACTTGCAGCGCCCGTTCTAAGAGAGCAGTGAGGTCGCGGTCTTTCTTCGCCGCGAGGAAGGCTTGAAAGCACTGCATGATCTCATCCACGCTGACCTCCTGCACTGTCGTGCGCGCCCGCTTGTTGAGAAGCGCGGCCATGGCGGGCAGGGAAAATCAGGGTCGAAACAACTTGAGCAAACGCAAAACTCCCCGGAAGCGCGCAGTTTCAGAGCCGCCAAACGGACGCAAGCCAGCAAAAGCAAATGAGGCCAAGTCGTGCTTGAACTGAACAATTGCTGTTGCCGTTGCCGTTGCCGTTTGTGTTGCCGCGTTTTTTTGCCGTTGCCGTTGCCGTTGCCGTGAAAAGTTTATTTTGCAAGTCAATTAAGAAGTCACTAATTGCCGCGAAATGGGAATTGCCGTGAAAGTTAATTTTTACCGTGGGACTCTCTAACTGTCTTGACGGATTCGTTGGGTAAGACTCGCGCGTTGCGTGGCAAGAAGCTTGACGCACGGGCGGCTGCAGCGAAAACGCATGCGCGCGCAGCGTGCTGCACGCTGGGCATACAATCGTGTTGCGCCACCTGCGAGCCTTGTGCGCCAACTTTGCGGTTCGCTTACACGCAAACGTTGGTTGCTTAGAAACATGCGGCAACAGTGCGAAAACATGCGCACTGTTAGATTAGAGCAACGGTGAGATGCCTGTGCCCACGTGTTAGGCATGTATTCCGTCCAAAGATTGATCCTGCACCGTGCTTCAACCAGAGGGAAAAAAATCAGCCAGGGTAAAAAAATATAGGATCTTTTTTACCGCACCTGAGGAGTGCTGTTTGCCGGAGTCGGGGAAAGGGGCGGCCTTTTGACTTGGACAAATGCAAGGTCCACGACAAACAGGGATCCTTCAGTACGGGTCGCTTTGACTTGGAGGAAGAAGAGCGCGTGTCTTTCCACTTCAAACATGGCATACACCAGGCCACTAGTTTCGAGCAAGAGGCCATCACAATGCCATGATTGATGGGTCAAGCATGCTGATCACATCCCACATTTGCCGCAAACAACATGGCGCACTTCCATGGTGCGACTGCACCAGTTGCAGCAGACTTGTACGCCTTCCGATTGATTGTCGCTGCATACGCCGCACACATGATGTAGCCTGCAAAACTTTGGCTCATGATGGACGCACGTGGCTGTGCATCTTAATACGGGACCATCTTGGCGGACATGAATCCCACCAAAGGGTCCCCGAAATAAACAACGAAGCAAAACACACATGTAAGAAGGTGCTGCTGCAGCAACACCGAAGCAGCAAATAGCATGGCCAAGTGAAACCATCTGAGTTGCGGGAACTCACCAAAAGAAGCTCTCCATGGTCTATCTCTTCGAATCTCACTTCCTGAGTGGATTGGCCAACAAAAAGTCTCAACTTTGCATTTACCACTAAAACGGTCTTAGAAAGTATAAAGTCCGAAACGGAACTCAGGGAGTGAGAAGGGGGTTTCTTTGGTATCACCTTTCGCATTCAAACCCAAGCTGCCCACAACTTGCTGGTGCGATAAGTGTCGCTGTGGTTGAAGCAGTCGGAACCCTTCCAACAAAAAAAAGTTGAAGGGGCGGAATCCACTGGGCAACAGAGTTCCACAACCTAGGTGCACCAGTTTTGCAAAGTTAGAATAAGGGTGCCCTGTTTTCTGTAGTCTATTTCAGCTGGGGAACCCTCCGCCACAAAAATGGTAAAAAGGCGCTACTGGGACCTAGATAACTCTCATTCCCTGCATCTCGCGCACTCTCACTCGCAAGCCTTCGATTTGTACTTCGGGCCATTTTGGCCACTGGAGTCCCTTAAGGAAAAATCCGCCTCCCCCAATTAACCATATTTAAAGGGGGTGGCCTTCCCCTAAAAAAAGGACCTCCAAATGACGCAGAACCAAGTTGACACGCTAGTATCATTGAAAGACCTGCTTTGTAGAAACCCAACCTCCCAAGACTCAACTCTCCAAAACAAACTGGGTTGCCACGAACGGCAAAAGATCTTTAGGGCTCGAACTCCCCCCCTTTTTCCCCCCCCCCCCCTGGACTCCCCCCTCCGCCCCTCTCCCGCCTCGAAGAGGGACGGGATGAGGCCC